CAAATTTGAGAGATTAATGCAATTTGCTAAACCAGAACCTAAGCCTGATGCACTTTTTGCACCAATTTAATTAGACCTTTTTAAATATTGAAGAAAAAATATATCATTAAATAGTTAATTAGAAGGAAAAAATGAAGAAAAAATATGAATTAATAAGATTAATTAATTAATAATAAAAGTAAAAAATTTAAAAATAAAAGGATGAGCTTAATAAATTAACAAAGAAATAACAAAAAAAAGCAAGCACAAAGAAAAGAAAAAGAAAAAAGAGCTTTGTTGTTTTTAATTACTTTTAATAATTAAAAATATCTCAATTCAAAACAAATAAACTGATTTTACGTAAGGTAAAGTTTCAAATTTGAGAGATTAATGCAATTTGCTAAACCAAAACCTAAGCCTGATGCACCTTTATCACCAATTTTATTGGAACTTTTTAAATATTGAAGAAAAAATATATCATTAAATAGTTAATTAGAAGGAAAAAATGAAGAAAAAATATGAAATAATAAGATTAATTAATTAATAATAAAAGTAAAAAATTTGAAAATAAAAGGATGAGCTAAATAAATTAACAAAGAAAGAACAAAAAAAAACAAGAACAATAAAAAGAAAAAGAAAAAAGAGCTTTATTGTTTTTAATTACTTTTTATAATTAAAAATATCACAATCCAAAACAAATAAACTGTTTTTACCTAAGGGAAAGTTCCAAATTTGAGAGATTAATGCAATTTGCTAAACCAAAACCTAAGCCTGATGCACCTTTATCACCAATTTTATTGGAACTTTTTAAATATTGAAGAAAAAATATATCATTAAATAGTTAATTAGAAGGAAAAAATGAAGAAAAAATATGAAATAATAAGATTAATTAATTAATAAAAAAAATAAAAAATTTGAAAATAAAAGGATGAGCTAAATAAATTAACAAAGAAAGAACAAAAAAAAGCAAGCACAATAAAAAGAAAAAGAAAAAGAAAAAAGAGCTTTGTTGTTTTTAATTAGTTTTTATAATTAAAAATATCACAATCCAACAAATAAACTTATTTTACCTAAGGTCAAGTGTCAAATTTGAGAGATTAATGCAATTTGCTAAACCAGAACCTAAGCCTGATGCACCTTTGTCACCAATTTTATTATCACTTTTTAAATATTGAAGAAAAAATAA